GTTTTTGTTTGTTTTACATGGACCAATTTCCATTTATTGGACTTGAGTTCTCCGTCAGTATATGAAAAAAATTTAGCCTTAACTGAATTTATCACGGATGGATATTAGGCAAGCTGTCAAATTCAGGAATACAGAGTACCCCCCCCCCCAATACTGGCTCCTCTTCAGAGGTACTTATATCATCATTCATGTTTGAGTTCCTCAATAAAAAATTGAGGAGCTGAAAAGTACATTGGCTGCCAGTATCACATTGGCCCATTGATGCTCCGTTTCCTTACGTTAATGTACTTGTTGTGATGTCGTAATCTCTCTGAAATACTCCAAGCCTTTGGAAGTGAAATCCCACATCAATATCCAGCTTGGCAGCTCTCCCAGGCTCAACATCCATCAGTTTCTTCTTCATCAGCTGTACGAATGACTCCATCTTGGAATTCTGGTATACCCAGATGCCCAGGGTTTTGTTTGTTTGCTTTTCAGAGTCTCACCATGTAGCCTAGACTGACCTTGAACTCCTGGCAATCCTAATGCCTATTCACTCAAGAAGTAAGACTAGGCATAAAAACCACCACACCTAATTTATAAACCTTTCTTTTTGATATTTCAAGGGCTGGTGTAACAACTAAGAGACTGCTTTGAGTCTCAGTTGGTACTTTTGAACAATGCTGGAAATGTTGAGACTATGAGAGACTCTTAAGATTAGACTAAATGCATTTTGTATTATGAGAGCACCAAGGACTTTGGTGGGGGTGGGGTAGAGATAGAAAAGGAGTAGAATCATTTGATTTACATCTGAAATGGCTCATGTTTTGAACACTACATCCCAACCTGGTGGTAGAATGTTGGGAGGCTATGGAACCTGTAAGAGGTGAGGTCTGTCTGGTAGGGTACAATAGGTGGGCCTTTGACGGTGACACTGGGGTCCGGTTCCTTTGCACTCTCTGAATCCTGGTTTTAATATATGCTCACAGTACTATGAACTCAACTGTTCCACTATGCTTTCTTCACCATGATGAACTGAAATTCTTGGAATCCATGAGCCAAAATAAATCTGTCCTTTATTATGTTGTTTCTGTGAAGTGCTATGGCCACAGGGATGCTCAAGCAACTAATGCAGGAGCAAATAAAACAGCTGGTATCAAATAAAGTATTACAAGCCAAACAGAGTGGCACACACCATTAATCTCGGGAGGCAGAGGCAGATGGACCTCTGTGAGTTTGATGTCAGCCTGGTCTATATAAAGAGGTCCACAAAAACCAGGGCTACATAGAGAGAGACTTGCCTCAAAAATAAAATTTAAGGAGCTGGGCGGTGGTAGCACACGTCTTTAATCCCAGCACTCGGGAGGCTGAGGCAGGTGGATCTATGTGAGGTTGAGGCCAGCCTGGTCTACAGAGTGAGTTCCAGGACAGCCAGGACTGTTTCACAGAGAAACCCTGTCTTGAAAAACCAAAACAAAAACAAAACAAAAAAAAAAGCGTCTTTGCATGTTTGGGAGAGAAATAAGTAATAAACCATCTACTCTAGCCAAAACAACTTTAGGAATAGTAAACTCATTATCTTTATTTTATAGAAGAAGAAATAGAGGCTTAAAAACGAGTTAAAAACCAACTCCTATACAGTCACTTAATAATTAATACAGAGGGTTAGCATCAATCCTAGGTCTAACACAAAAGCTCTATTTTTTTATTTCTTTTCTTTTTTGTTGATTCAAGACAGGGTCTCTCTGTATAGCTCTGGCTGTCCTAAAACTTGCTCTGTAGACCAGGCTGGCCTGTAACTCACAGAGATGTGCCTGCCTCTGCCTCCCAAGTGCTGGGGTTAAAGGCGTGCGCCACCACCACCCCAACCTCTTTTTTTAAAGTACTTTTTATTATGTTATAATTTCATACATATATATATAATGTATCTTGATCATATCAGCCCAACTCCCCTTTCACACGCCCAAGAAGCCTCCTAAACATGTAGCCCTCCCATATTCACGTGTTTTAAATAATCCATTGAGTCCAATTAGTACATGAGCATGAACAACCTACCAGCAGTCACACTCCCTCCCAGCAGCCATCAACAGCCCCTCAACTAGCAGTCTAGCTTCATGGGCTCTGCCAGCATCTGCACTGGGCTTACTGAGATGTGCAACTAAACCTACACTTTCAACTATCTTTTTAAAGATTTATTTACTTATTATGTATACAGTGGTTTGTCTGTATATGCCTGCATGCCAGAAGAGGGCACTGAATCTCATTATAGATAGTTGTAAACCATGTGGCTGCTTGGAATTGAACTCAGGACCTCTAGAAGAGCAGCCAGTACTCTTTACCCTCTGAGCCATCACTCCGGCTCTCAATTATTACTTCTACTAATGTTTGATCACTTCTGTGAAGGTCAACAGATTAAACGAGAAATTTATAATTAGAAGCAATTTCAATAATATTATACAGTGCTGAACACCAGAAGTCCTCATCCTAGACAGCCAGAAGATGGAAGGAGGGGATACCACACAGACCTTTCTCCAGATCAATGTTTTCCTTGAAGAATTTTTTAATTGAGGGGTTGGGAAATAGTTTATTCAATAAAGTGCTTGTGAAAGCATGAGAACCTGAGTAAAATCCCCCCAAAATGCATCTGTAACCTCAACACTGAAGAAGAGAGAAGATCCCTAAGACTTGCTGGCCAATCAGCCCAGCCCAGCCAGCAGGCTCCAGGGCAGCCAAGAGCCTGCCTGGAATAAACAAGGTAAAGGGCACCTGAGGAACACCTCAAGTTGGCTTCTGGCCTCCACACATGTATACATACAAACACACCCACAAGAATGCACGTTACACATACACATACAGAGGAACTTTTAAAAGCTCCATGATCCCTGCTCTTTTCCATATGTTTAATTCATTGGTTTCCACATCAGATCAAGCAGCTGCAATAAAGTGGACAAAATCAATTTAGAGTAAAATATGACAGCCTTCAAGGAACTGGTACAAACTGCCTTTTATTGGGCTCTAACAAAAGAAGTTGCTTGGGGAAAAACTGTTGTCAAATGTCACTAGAGAAATTATTTGGATGCAAGGGATAATAAATAAATGTACTAAATTCTTAAAACCCCCCCAAATTCATAAAGAGGCTAACTTTTACACCCTTAACAGTTAGGATGGATGGTGTACTGGAGCAACTGTCCTACTAACTTACAGAGGTCATTTCTGAGGACCAGCTACTCCTACCCTGGCTAGACAAAAATATAGAACCATTCAAGAGAGATAACAAATACAGTCTTTATCATTCACAGTAGAAGAAACCCATCTGTGTAAGACCTAGCTAAGAAGATAATATTCAGGCTGGGTACAAAGGGAACAGTGGACTGCCAGAGAAGAAATGTTATTTATCAGACTATGACAAACTTTTACATGTTTTGTCATTAACCAACTGCTTGATGGCTGGCTTGCATCTCAAGCTAACAGTTAGCAAACTGGAAGTGAGGCAAACCTTTAAAACCCAGGCACTGCCTTCTGATTCTTTTGTGGCAATGCATGTTCAAGTTACCAAAACAATAACCCTCTTTATAAATGAAGAACTGAAGGTGATATTTTCCACATTATTTCATATTTGAATTTCCTTAAATAAATCTAAAATCAGCCCAATAAAAATACAAAAAGAGCAGAACTTCGTTAAAAATTATGCCATCAGGGCTGGCAAGATGGCTCCCAGGGAAGAGGTGCTAGTGTGAACATTTAATGACTTAGATTCCACAAGGTGGCAGGAGAATATCAACTCCGAAGAGTTGTCTTCTGACCTCACTCACATGTACACACATGCATATACACACGTGTACACACATACACCCAAATAAATACACACATAAGTGTGTGTGTGTGTGTGTGTGTGTGTGTGTGTATGTATGTCACTTTACACGTAATGCAAACTAACCAAGATGACTGTCCTTCATAATTTACCATGGATAAGAATGAATACTTCTCTAGCCCTGAACTTGTAGGTGTGGGAGAACTGACCCTGAGGATCTGAAAGCGGAAGAACCGGCCCTGCTCCTTGCTCATCCCTACAAGGGGTGACCTAACCAGGGCAATGCAAGAGAGCTCATCCTGGTGGTGAAGACAAGAGAGCTGGCAGGTTGACCAACCCTGCAACTACCCAGGCCCAGAAACAGGTTATGAGTTGGCCCACCCCAACATCCACCCCATCTGTGAACTGCTAGAGCACATGAAGGGACTGGACCTGCAGACTCAAAGCTGCAGGATCTCCACAACAAAGGGCAACAACAAGATATACAAGAGGCCAGCATCAATAGTGTAGCAGAAACCAGAGACCTCGAACCAGACCAATGACTCTTTGCAATGAACACTTGCAAGTAAAGATATATGGACTAAAGAGTTTACTGCAAGTCTCACTGTGACACACTGCAGTTTCCATGATGAGACTAATTTTTCTTTTTTTTTTTCTCTTAAACTTCATTTTATTTTATGGGGGGAGGGGGTTGCAAGGTCAGAGGGCAGATATGAAGGGATGGGGAAATAAATGGGATGAAGATGCATGATGTGAAAGACACAAAATAAAAAAAGAACTCAGGATGAGCAAGTCATGAGGAGCAACTCAGTAGGCAGCACTCCTTCATGGCCTCTGCATCAGTTCCTGCCTTGAGTTTCTGCCCTGATTTCCTTCATTAATAGTCTGTAACCTGAGAGTTGTAAGCTGAAATAAACTCTTTCACTGCCCCCCCCAAAGAATTGCTTCTTAATCTAAATGAAATCAGATACATTTTTATAACTATCTTCTCATCTGAATAACTTAAAACATAGTTTGAAGTACAGATATGGTATAACTCCTAATACTAAAAATCATAAAAGAAATAGCACCTGTTTTAATTAGACCTAACAATGTAAATAAAATGGTATTTTAGCACAAAAAATGATCACATGACTCTAAACATAACATATATAATACGATGAAACTAGGACTGGACTGGATCCCACACAAATCACAGAACACTCTTTACCTCAGTCTGCAGGATGGCAGCTCTTTGTTCCTTAGCAGTGAGGGACTCCTTTAGCACCTCAATATGTTGCTTACTGTCTGAGAACTGGTTCGTGAGCGTTTCTAGCTTTGTTTGTAAGGCTAGTAGTTCAGTGTCCTTTCTGGACAACTCTTGCTTCACCTGGCCAATCTGGAAAAGAAAACACAACATTGTAAGGAAAAAAGAAATTACACAACTACCATGTAGCTGGACCTCTGGCAGATTTATGACACAAGATAGGAAACCAAATGCAAAACTGACTTTATAAGGTAGAAAGGGGGGGGGGTGCTTTAGCGATAAAGCACTTGTCTAGCAGTTCTGAGTTCCTAGGCTCATCAAATAGTAAATAAATAAGCCAGGGCATACTAATCTTTTTGCACCATCTAATACTGGATGCTCCTTACCAAAAACTAAGTTTATTCAACAAACACAGAAACTTCTAATCTTCAGTTATTGTCTCTAAATAGTTTCTGAAACTCCTTAGGCCAGTGGTTCTCAACCTTCCTAACACTGCGACCCTTTAATACAGTCCCTCATGTTGTGGTGACCCCCAACCATAACATTATTTTCGTTGTTACTTCCCAACTGTAATTTTGCTACTGAGCAGTGTCTCAGATTGTAAGACCATGAGAAATATGTTTTCCAATGGTTGTGCCCACAGGTTGAGAACCACTACCTTAGAGGGAAAAGACAGAGGAAGAAATTACAGTTCAACCAGACCAGGCAGCATTCATCACCTAAATACCACTTCATTTTGTTGAGTCTCCATCTCCAGGAGACTATGGGTCAGAGGCAGGATTAGCCTCCATCTCCAGAAGACTATGGGTCAGAGGCAGGATTAGTGCGCACGTAAAACATGAGGGGAAAAGTAACTTCATATTTCTACTGAAGGTAAATTCAAATCCTAGTGGTATGCTTCTTTGGTTTTCTTTCTCAAGCAAAAAAAAAAAAAAAAAAAAAAAAAAAAGCTTTATCTTTTAAGAAGCTAGGCTACATGTGGTAGTGCACACCTGTATCCCAGACAGAAGAGGCAGAAGCTGTTGGATCTCTGTGAGTTGCAAGCCAGCCAGCGGTATATAGTGAGACCCTGTACCATGAAAACAGGAGGAAACCAAGCTCCTTTCAGTGTTAAGGTGCTAGAGAGATGTTCTTAAAAAAAAAAAAGTCACCTGTTTAATCAACTATACACACATCATAGAGCATAAACAGATAAACACATTAAAAAAAAAAAAAAAAAAAGTCACCTGTTTAATCAACTATACACACATCATAGAGCATAAACAGATAAACACATTGGACTTAAATGAATGTGTAAGTTCTCACTAAGAGAATCTACACGTGGCATCTGAAGTTTATCAGTCTGAATGAGCAACTCATAAATCAAACAGTCCAACAGTACAATGCAATCTCCACAGAGCGCTCTCTC